TGCCCTTTCAACCATTGTGTGATATCGTTGATATTGAAGGTATTTATCGCATGGTGAAATTGCAGAAGGAGTTGAGTTAGTTCTGTTTTATTTAACTTGGTGACAACGAAAGAGGCAAGGATATAATCTTTTGCCAAAATGACCTGGGTCACTGAAATGAAAATGTAAAAAAAGTACTATATAAAACATGTTGTAAAAATATAGTACTACAATTAAGTAAATTAAACTGAGCAAAAACAACCTCATCGAAATTATGGCAAAAACAACTCCGTTACAGGAGAACAAAAATTCCGTACAAGCATATATATGTAAATGGGAGCATTAACATGAATATAAATCTTGACTTAAAGCTTTCATGACTGCAGGAATTCATATTCTTTGGGTCTTTCGGTAAAGTCACGTAGATAGGTACAAAGAAATAACAGTACAAAAAATTACGACATTTCGATCACAACATAAATGATCGAAATGTCGTAGTTTTTTGTATAACATGAATGCATACATTAAATACATGAATACATATGCATATGTAGTGGCCTTAATGACGTCGGAGACTGTTCGTAGAGGCAACACGTATTTATGATCAACACTTCGATCACAGTTACGAATCTAATACTTGGAGAGGTAACGGCCTCTCCACCCGTACTCTACATAGGGAACGGTCCCCGTGCTCAAGCCTACGCTAACTCCCTGGTTCCCTCCAACCTGGCCCTATCTCCCGAGGCTATCTGACCTAGCCCAGCTTCGGCGTAGGTCACGACCACCAGCCCTTAAAAGGACATCGGGCCTCGCGGCTCTGGGGTCGCACCCTGGCTTGCTTTGCCCGGCCCTCAAAAGAACAGCGGGCCAAAGGAGTTCCAGGGTCTAGCTAGTCGAGCTACTTTCCTCACTGGTGCTTCATCTTGCCTGAGTCGAACTGCCCTCCAGTACCCCGGGTCCCACCTTTTATACAGTTCCTCACTCAGGGGTGGGGCTGGGAGGGATCCCAGCATCCCCTACAGCCCCCCAGGGTGGTCCGTAGTGGACGTGGTTGTAACCACTGCCCTACAACCGCGTGTCCCCCCTCCCGTCACACCTCTACACGTACATGAAAATCTAACCTGAATGATTTCTATTAATTTTACGTAAGATTATCTGTTGTCTGACAGTGTTTAGATTTGATTCGTGTTCAGCATTCGTTATACATATGGAAATCTTGTGTTAAATGTATTTTGAGCACACTGGGACAAGTCATGTTTAAAGTGGTTTTTTTTACTGTATAGTAGACTGCAGAGTTGAATATTTTGTTGAATTTTGGTGATATCGATATCTTGAAATATATTTTATGATATATTGCATGGTTGTGCTGAATATTTCAGTTATACAGTTGGTGTGATACATTTGATAATGTAAAATTCATCCAACAAAGCCTCACTGAGCCTCCATAACATTTTTTTCAGGAAAATCATGTATAGTGTTGCTTTTTTTGCCAGTTCCGTTTTAAGAGTGTTGCCTGGAAGGAATAACTAGAATACCGAGAGAACCTACGGATATGTGGGGGATGACCTTGGAAGATCCACACAGATGGCTTCACGAACCATTGCAGTCCAGGGACTCCTCTACTTACGCACATTCGACTTACGAACTTTCAGAGATACGAACAAACCTCTCCGTATGTCCAGTTGCCTGTTCGGATTGAGTCGTAAGTTCAACCGCCGCGCAATAGATGGCGGTGGTGGCATCTACATCTGCAGAACATGAAGAACCAGTGGCATCTACAGGAGATTATACAACTTTTAAAGGCATTCCCCATGTTTAATGTACATGCCGTACAACATGTTTGGAATCGTCATGAGTAAAGTTGCACTTACGAACAAATAGACTTCTGAACAGACCTCTGTAACCTAATTTGTTTGTAAGTAGAGTAGTCCCTGTACTGTCTTACAGCTACCTTGCAGCTAAAGGATTTGGGAGTTCCACAATTCAATGTGATCCACCAACCTTAGCCTTAAATGCTGGATTACAGGTGCATTCCAATAAAAGAGTTCACATTTATTGTAACACTTTTTATAATTGAGTGATTTTATTTGAATATTATATCTGTTGCGTTCATACGTTGTTAAGGTTGAGCGAATAAATTGATCTAAATAACCTTCAATTATGGGTTATATATGCAACTAAAGCATGCCTGAAAATAATATACAGTATTTGCTTAATTTTCTCAATCGTATATTAGGTGCAGCCAATTTAACAAAAGCAAGATTGATAGTTTCATACAGTTAAAATAAGCCGTATTGGAGATGGCCGACATGGTCTGTGGTGAATGTGTGCGAGCCCTGTAATGGAACAGGTATATGCAACCTAATGAGGAGTTTAACGTGCCAATTTTGGCAAGCTTGAACACGTGGCACAGCCTTTGTCCCCATCTACGCAGTCTTTATGTACAGGTAAGCCTCGGTGAATCTTGTACTTTCCTTGCATTGGGATTGTTTCTTTCATAAGTGTTTTTGCATGTGGGAGAAAACTGGAGTTCCTAAAAAATAACCCACACACATAAGGGGATAATATTTAAAGCTCTGCAAGTATGGATTTTATCTTCTATATCCAGATTATGGTCATCTCCCAGCCCAGCGATTGTAGGAATTTTTTCATTGTCAATGTTGCTGACCAATGGTATTCGCAACTATTAGCATTTCACGTCAGGGGGCGGAACGTAGTGCAGAAAAAGTTTAGAGGCAGCCCTAGCTGTCCTGGACCCCCCCCCCTCTGACCCAACAGCCCCGGCCTTGAGCCCATGTGGTTGCTGGTCTTAGGCAGTGGACGTGTTGGACAAGCAACCAATGGCAGTGGGGAGTCGAGAAAATACCACATCATCAGGACGTCCCACATAGAGTACAACTCATCCATGAAGGAGAGGGCCAGATGCGGGGAACTACCACAGGACATCATCCTATGCCCTCTTCAGAGGAGCATCTGCCTGAGGGCTGAAATTCCCAGAATGGGAGGAGGCAGTGTGATGCGGGTTCGATAGGTGACACAATCTGTCTACGTAAGTGGAGCTTCTAGAAGGATTCGGTGGAAGTTGCACCATTTGTGTGAAACGGCGATAAAATTCACTATCCAGCAAATAATTGCGCTTCGGCGGCATGGGGGGAGGGGGTACAGCTGATATCCAGATAAGGTGGCTACAGTCTGCACGACTCCAGTTTTTGAGAGGACGAGCCATTTGCGCAACAATTCCTCAGCGGGGACGAGAGGGAGCCGAGGCGGTGCTTCACACGGTGGCCCCAGATCTCTCCACCGAGGCAGGGCCAGACAACGGCAAGAAACTGCTCGCGTGTTTAACAAGCCCCGCCCCCCCCCACCCCCCCCCCCGTTATCGAAGGCAACAGGCATGCCGCTGGACCAGCGTATGCTGGATTTGGTTCACCACGAGTGGGGGGAAACCAGGTAAGAGTTAGAGCCTTAGGGATATTAAAAGAGGTTCTGCACCTTTATGGAGGACCAGGATGAGACTCTTATGGGGTTGCCCTTGTTTGATGGAACCATGGAAAACCACGTCCTGCTTCACAAGCCGTCGGTGACAGGGACCCATTAGTCGTCCTTCTCGATGTGCAGTAACAGGGCCGTGAACAAGGGGAAACCTTTCTATGGAACCATGTTGAGAGGATGGAATGTAGGGGAACGTCCTTCCGGCTGCATCCCTATTCTTTACGGGGTGGTGGAAACCGTGGTTATCAGAAGTGGCTGGCGCAAGTCAGACCTTCCGGTATAGTGGCTCTTCTTGGAAGCCCGGTAAAGCTGAGGGGGTAGAGTACAGAAGAGAGGCTTGATTCCCAACAGCGGAGGTGACGAGGCCTCTCAGTCTGGCTCCTTCAATTTGGGAGGACAAGGCTCCCCCCCGTTCTCGGCAGCCGGATGGGTGCTCCAGATCTTCCCATCAGGGCAACGACCTAGAGTTTATCGGCGCCCCTGCGACAGGTTTTTGCGGAGAGTCTCAGTCCCCTCTGGATTTGTTCATGGGGGGGGGGGGGCGGTGTGGTGGTTGGCTTGCAAGCAGACATTTCAAGGCTTGTAGTTGTAGGGCCCATAAGGAAGGTACCTATGGACAAGTGGAGGGGGTCAGGATTCTACTCGAGGTTCTTTACGATGTCAAAGGCCTCGAACTCGGCCGTTTGAGTTTGCATTGGAATGCCACAAAGGCACTCGTGACAGGGAAAGATATCCTCGTATGCTGTGACATCACGGCAGTCGCCATGGTGAACAAGCAGGGGTCACCAAGGTTCAACAAGCTTACGCAGGAATCGTAACCTGTTAACGTGGGCGGAGTAGAACGGGAGACTGTTACTGGTCTGTCCAGGCATCTCGTGGGGGGTGGCCATGGGATTTGTTGAGCCGGGAGAGGCTTGACTCTGACGAGTGGGGCTCTACTTTCATCCGAAAGTTTTCGGTTTTTGCAAAAATGTAAAAATGTTCCCCTAAGCCAATGGAGCGCACTATGGTACAACCGTGACAGTGTGAATTATTAGATAGTATACATAAGACGGTCAATACAGGCAGAACAAATACGATGAAAACTAATAAATGAGAATCCACAAACAAGACGGTTCATTCTTGATGTAATTAATGACCCTCAATCGTGAACATTTAATGTTACTTTCGAGGGCGTCGAGGAGAGTGAGTAGGTTTAAACTCAATGTCGCGAATTCCTCTCGAAGTGATGTACAATCGATTAGAGCAGGGGTCCCCAACCCCCTGGCCACTGACCGGTATCGGTCCGCGGCCTGTTTGGAACCGGGCCGCACAGCAGGGGAGGTGAGTGGTGAGTCCGCACGTGGCCCGCCCATTATTTTATTTACCGCTTCCGTCCGCGCTTCTTTCCCGCACTGAGCACTTGTCACAGTTTTGGTAAGCCCACAAGCTAACCCCTAGTAGCCACAATGAGTAAAAAAAACACGTCGCTGGAGAGCTTATTTGAAAAGGGGGAAAGACCCAATGATGAACTCCCCCCCCCCCTGCCCCGGTCCGTGAAAAAATTGTCCTCCACGAAACCGGTCCCTGGTGCCAAAAAGGTTGGGGACCGCTGGATTAGAGAACACATTGACACGAGCAGGATTCAGATATGATGAGGTTGGCTCTCACATTGCAAAGGCATGGAGAGGTTCTGTTTACTTTATATTATTTGTAAATGACCTTCATAAACTCTGTCATGTGTGAACAAAGGTGCCATGTTTAAGAATTATTTAACTGTGATTAAAATCCGGTATATTTGAAAAGTAATGTATTCCGTCAACATTTTTACGTTTTCCCCCCCAGGTGCATGACAATTATTTTTCATACTACAATTATCCTTTTCACCATCACGCACATTTTGTAAAACATACATAGCACAAGCCACAGACGTCGCTGCATTAAATGAAGCAGTACGTTATTCGAAATCTGTGGTGAAAGTGTAGTTAAAGTATAGCTTTAAACCTATTTTGTTTGCCTGGTGAAGATAGTTATAACCTTTGTTCGTTATTGCTCAAAGCTGGCATTGAAACGAAGTTTAATAATTGACTAATAGTGGCTGACTTGGCAAAAGGGATCCCTCTTCAGCAATGCATGACTGTTCTGTCAGGTGCCTATGGACTTCAAAACAAAAGCACAGCCTTTGAAGAACAAGCAACCATTTGCCTCTTTCTCTGGAAACGAAGTCCAGGAAAGAAAAGCAAAACCCCATTTTAAGCATTACAATACCACGAGCTTTCTGAATGCTGTGTAATTGGTTGCTCAAAGCAGAGATGCGAATGCATTTTCCCGATTTTATTTCCACATGTTAACCTTACAATCTGTTAAGTGTGATATATATTTATATTGCTGCGGTGATGGGGCGCAGCACAGTAGCAAAGTCACCTCGGGCTTGAAGGGACCTTTATTGTGAAAAGTGGGTCAAACATTGACTTGAAAGGCACAGGAAGCACCCAAGGCATGCTGGTTCCGCCCAATGCTGCGGCATTGGCTGACGAGCGGTCGCCGTGCCTTTCAGTCTAAGCTCGCGTGGCAACGCCGTCTCGGTTAAAATAATCAGCTGTCTGTCTCGGAGCATGCTGCTGTACGTGGAGGTGGGTAGCCCAGTCATTCGAGAGCGCTCTCTCTCTTGCCACTGCATCCCTTTGCTTGGCTGCGGCAGGCAGTAGCTGCTGGGATCCGTGCCAGCCTTGGGCCGTGAGCTTCGCGTTCCGCCAAGTGGTCTCGTGTGTCTGCGTGTTGGTCGTCGCTGCGCAAATTGAGCAATGTCGCTGCGCTGGGTTATTTGGACACGTGCTCTTGCACCAGCCCTTCTCGTTCCTTCCTTGACCAGCCTGCCCCCACGCAGCGCCACGTCGTGTGTGTGCAAAAAGGGGATTTGCAGATTTTCTCCAGCAGGATTGCTGCCAGTTTAGCGAACGCACCCGGCAAGTTGTGGAGGCTGTTTTTATTTTTATTGGGTCATTTATTTTTAATAAAAGGAAACCCAAGAGAAGAGAGTTTTGTCAGAGGTATGTTTATGAATTACTGAAACGTCACGCGGACTCGTCGGACTTCTGAGGTTAAATTGAGCTTTCTAGAACGTTCCAACTTTCCGAGCAGGATTTCTGCATTTCAGTGCATAGAGAATCGAGTGTGGAAAATGCGTTTGTGTGTATATATATTCGGCTTAACATGCTACAAAGCAACCTTTAGTTTTTAATACTCTCTAGATTAGGAAATCGTATCAAATGTGTGGGCCACTTTATAATGCAGTTCTCATTTGCAGCGAGTGCGCTCCTAAATGTTCACTGCTCTTGCTCACTACGTCCTTGTGTTGCACGTGAAATGATGGCTGTACGATATTTAATATAATTAATACATTCGCACGAATTGTGTCCATACACAAGTGTTGGAAATGCTCTCGGGATATGGAGCAGTTGTGTTTCTGTTTGAGCGGGGAGGCGGCATGTGCGTTGCGAATCAGTTGCTCGTTTCTGGTCTGGTTCACCTTTCTCAGTGTTACCACTTTCTGTTGAGTGCAGGAGAGAATGCGGCTGCTCCTCTACAACATTGGAATAATATTTCTATACGATGCCAGTTTATGTAATTGTTTTGCTTTTGCTCATGATACTTATCGGGCATATTTGCCGTCCGTCCTCATGTTTAGAAGCTGGAAATTGTGAGAAGCCCCTGAAAGTGTTGGGCTCTACTAATAAGTTACAGTTTTAAAGTTATATAGTGTAGCTTCAAGGTTATACAGTAACATTTTGGAGACCAGTATTTGACATTTGTCAATAAGTGAGCCAGTCTCATGAATGGACATTTAGGGGTTCCATCAGCTGTTTCCTTGCACACGCTTCGGATTCCAAGATCTTTCTAGCAAGGAAAAGGTATGTTCCATCACGGTTGTGGTGGTGAAGCTTTAAATTACTGAGTAAATGTATCAATGCCCTATTTTCCCAATAGCATTAGAAAACATTCCCGTAAGACAAGCCAAATGCAACTTATAATTACCATATTTACTGAAGCAAGTATAATCAGTATTGAATTAATGCTTTACATATATGGTATACCCATTTCTTTTGAGTAAATTTCTCTCGAGGGGTTTATAAGGATTCCCAAATATTTCCTCTTGATGTAAACCCCAACCACAATTAAATACAGTTGCGTTGCTAATGTCTGTTGTGAAATTGAGCAGCTAGTTACAGACGGTGCTCCTACTTAGGCTGAAACGCTGGCTAAATAACTGACCATTGCTTAATGCCTCTTCTTCATCACTCGTTTGGCCATCACAGGGGCACATTGATGTGTGCTGGTGTGTGACACCATTCGTGATTGCTCTAAGCTGTGTGACCCTGCAGAGTGCTGTGGTCAGAATAATGGTTTCCAGCAACTTGTGATTGCCCGCGGCTTTTACTTAATGAGTCTGACGAGCATCTGCCTTGGAGTTAATGCAAAATGAGCGCGTTCCTCTTCCCCCCTCACTGCTGACACTGAGTGAATTTAGGTCACGTTAAACAGATGTCACTGCAGCAAATTTGAGTCGTTGATAACACGGCTGTGTTTAACCACATCTAAGTGTGCCGCGTGAGGCCTTCTGTTGGAATAAAAAAAACTATCCCTTAATCTATGAGTCTTGTTCTAATACTGTTAACCTTTCAGTGTCTTATGTTCTAAATGTGAATAAATACACTTCATCAAGAGCTTTGTGCTGTTTACATCTATTCTGGCAAGTGACTTTGCAAATGTCAGCAGTGCAATCTTCTTTTTAGTTCGGATTTTATTTTAAAGCAGGCTTAACATTGCATGTGTTTTTCTGTTCAGATTTTTTTTTCTCCCAAATATACAGTGACTGTGCACGAGGCAATGATTATTGAATTTTTGAAATTGCCCATCCACTATTGAAATAGCTTCTTCCCGAAACCTGCAAAGGCCCCTCCTGCTGTTTATAAGCATGAATATATTTTAGTTTCGATCAACGCGCTCATTCTCGATGAACACGAGCAACAGTCATCAGTGTTTGCTTCTTTACCCCCGAGTATGTATAGCAGTTCGCGTTCGGAAATGAATGAAGCGTGTTTGAATATTTATTGGCAAAGGCTACGAAGATGAAGGCGCTTTCCTCTCTCTGTTTTTGGCGTGTACGGTGAATACACCACCTCGGTTTACGTTGCTGCTGCGTTGCGGAAAGGTGCGACGACGCATTTTGAAATGTCGCAAATGAAAGCGATTGCATGCACGTAGGTGGAAGCGAAGGCTGAGAGGCGACGCTTGTGTGGGTCAAGGTGGCGCAAATCGGCTGGCGGTGTTCAATAATAACGTGACGACGTATTTGTGAAGCAACGTCAAAAGGGGGTGACATAAATCGGCGTATTGCTTTGCTATTCTTAACCCATATGATTAGGAAATCCAGAAAAATAAATGTACTGTTCGTCCAAACTGTATTTGTTGGATACACCCATCAGCTTAAGTAGTAATAATTTACAAATCTTAGTTCACTTTCGTATGAAGGCCATTGAGAAGTGGCTTACTATTCTTCACAACATAGGCTAGTGCCAGTTAGTAATATCGGACCGCTTCTGGTATTATTCCCCAATTATGTTAGCGATGGCTGGGAATCGGTTACTAGGTTCATAGTTCAGTGCGTTAACCACTGATGGGTGTGTTGCAATAACGTTGTTTTTTCTAAGTAGCATTTGCTTGTGAGCTGTCTTGGCGTTTTTTCCAATTTTAAAGTTTATACGACGTAATAATTTATGGGATTAATTCCCGATATTGCCAGAATTATTTAGTCTTTTGTCGAACATTTATAAAATATAAAAGTAAATATATAAAAGTTTACATAAAAACAGGTGACTAAGATACAGCATCACCTTTCCATGTGATTGGGTAAGGTCACACATGGTTTCATAATAATCTGGGTAAGCCATTCAGTTAAGTTAGCCTCTGCTTAGCTACAATACATTTGACAACATATGAAATGTTTTTTTAATTAATTAAAATGCTAATTTTGGAAGGTGGGTGTAAAAGGGCGCCTCGGTTGAAAAACTCATCCGTAGTGCAAACGGGGTCAGGGTTATCAAACTTAAAGCCATAAGAATAAAAGTGAAGCCAGGAATCTTAGACCAATCAAACAAATGTGCACGGAAGCCATACAGAAAGCTGCGCTGTTTGAGCAAGTAAAAACCAGCACCGGTTGGTCGTAAGCAAGAAATGGGAGTAATTGGAATGCTTATGTTTTGCATCACTGAATATTGTAAAAAAAAAAAATGAAGAGTACTGCACTGCTTGTGCATGGGGAAATTTGTTGCGTAATATCTTAATTCATCCACTGTCGAGGCAAACTATAGCCGTCAAGGCACATTTTACAGCCATACACAACCACAAGATGATATGTTTGAGGTCTTTGAGGAAAACGTATGCAACTTAGCAAAGCCATTTCACATGCAAAACATGTCTACGTCTCTTGTATTATGCAAAAGAAATGGACATGTTGGTGTGTCTCGTCGAACATAACATTGATATCGAGCATCAGTGTCAATTGCACATCATAGGAAAATATGTGATGCAGTCGTGTCCTAGTGTTTATAAGTTGAAACAACACAGCAACAAGAGACTTGGATTTACATGGAGCAGGTAGCTCATTTGACAAATAAGTAATGCTAAATTTTAACCTTTGACATATGATTCAGGTGCCATGTTAGGTCAGGCCAAACATTACTACTAGCAGTGCATGCAATACGATGTGGGGAAAAAAACTTAACAATTCTTTAGTTTTATTTAAATATGTATTGAACGTGATGGTTTGTACACGTGCGAAAGTTTTTCACTTGCCAGCAAATAAAATAAATCTTCTGTAGTTTTGTAATAACGAGTGTTTACGTAAATTGCACAATCGTTTGGTTCTCAAATATGTAATCTAAGCTTTCAGAGATTTGGTTTTGGGTGATCTCTCCATTAATGCTTAACATTGTGAAGGCAACACGTTCAGTGTACTTTAAAGCAATAGTCTCAGATTAATCGTAAAGTTCATATTTTTTTTACAGATAAATTTCCAACAACGTATAACCAAAAACATGCTTCTGTGTGATTCAAATTCACCATGAATAGCCTAAAAGTAATTTTATATCCACATACATCATCATCAGACATGACCTAACCACTGCATAATGAAAGTCTCCTCACGTCACCACCCCTGAAGTTCCACAATTCCATGGCCAAATCGATCTTACTCGTGCACATGAGCTCATCTCATCATTTCGTCTTCGGGCCCGTTCCTTCCTTTGGTTGTCAGTCCATTGTTACTATTCTTGCTGTGAGGCTCCGTGCACTTGCAGCACTGCGATTTGAAGATTTTTCAATTCAAGGTTGGGATTCGGGAATAATTAAAATTTCTGTCGTTTTTCATCTCGGCCATCATCCCATCTTGCAATGTCACCTTCCGAAGCACACTTTCTTCGCAATCAATGTGATATCTATTGTGTACATTATCTGATTCACGTATTCCTATTTTTGTTACTCGGTGTAATTCCCAATATGGGCATCTCCATGCTTTGTAATATTACCAATTATCTTTATGCCTATTTTTCAAGTACAATTTTCAGAATATTTT